GCGGTTACACAACAAATGAATTATTTATCTCTGGGCATGGAGGAGAGGAGGCATTTTGCTGGGCTTCTTAATTCTTTACCTGGATGGGAGGGTGCCAGCCTGGGTACGTGGCCATGTGCGTAAGGCCCATGTGTCCTACACAGGACTAGGTGTGCTTGTGCGTGTGTGTGCGTGTGTGCGCGTGCGTGTGCGTACCTGTGTGTGTGCATGCCATGGTGTCTGGATCATGTAGGGCATGTGGGTCTTTGTGCAGGCAGATGAACGGGCATGGACAGGAGCGTGCTGGGGCGAATGTGTGAATGCCTGTGAATGGGTCTGTGCGCCTGACCTGTTAACTTGCCAGCCCCGCTTCTGTGCCCAGTGTCCTCAGACTCTGCCCGTCCTCCCTCCTTCCAGGCCCCCGGCTCCTCCCTCTCTTGCCACCCACCGCCCTCCCTTGTTTTATGTAACAGGGACCCCAGAGTGCTGCTGGTGCAGAGGCCCCCCTGACGGGAGGGGGTGGAGAAGGGACTGGGGGCCCGTGCTGGACTTCGGGGGGAGGGGCTGCCGCAAGCCCTCACACTGATCTGTCGTCCCTTCTCGGTGCTGCCTTTCAGGAACCAGGTGACAGATGGGTCTCTTCCTCCCTGCCCCTGTCTCACTTGCTCCCCCCTCAGAGCTCCACTCTCCAGCCTTCCGTGGGAATCGTCTGAAGTTCTGAGCCCAGAACCCAAGGAGGAAGGAGAGGAGGAGGAGGAGGAGGAGGAGGGAGAGGAAGTCAAGCCCTGGGAGCCTGTGCACCTTCCCAGCGGGAGAAGAGCAACGTGGGGAGCAGGCTGCGGGGCCCGAAGTCCCCCTGGCCCCAGCTCGGCCCCAGTGCCCAGCCGGAAGGCCCCCAGCCGTTGGCACTGGCCGTGCCTGTAACACCTGGGGCCCCTGTGCTGGGGGTCGCCCCCAAGATGGTGGCGGCCCCAGGGAGGACTGTGCTGCCAGCCCCAGCCTCTGACCACTAGGCCCCCTCCACCACTCACCCCGAGCCCGGCCGGCGAGGGGGCTGCGGCCGGCGCCCC